CTCTCGGGTGTTTCCTCCTCTTATTGTCGGCCCAAATCTACAGCGGAACGCTCCACTCCATATGGTCCATATGGTGGCTGGACAAATTGGCACGCCGCCGCTACGTCCTGTGATCCGACCCGACCCGAACTGAACTGAACCGTGAATCCGTGATCGTGCTGTGACCTTGATACCGTTGGCACCCTGTTGATCGTCGATGGATGTCGTCAGCAGAGAAATTGCAAATACACCTCCAGTGACCGCGGCATATATTGCAACCTGCATCTTTTTGACGTTTGGTGTAGTGAGTGCCTTCCTGAATATTTGAATAATGCATAGCAACTTAATATTTTAACTCCTTTCCAGTTATATTTCAACCCGTCGTTGATCTTTTCCAAGTTCCAAGTAAGCTGTTTTAGCAGAAAACATAAATTTCATAAAATAGATATGGCGTCTCATTACTTGTTTCTGTTTCTTCGGAACCTTCAACTTCAACTTTCTGTTCAATATCTTGTTCGCTTACCGTTACTGTCGAATGCTGGAGGAAACCTGGTACGGCACGCGTACTGCTGATTTTGTTATGATGTTCCTGTTTTGTGGTACTTTAACATGTGTAAGTCAGTATTAGTTAATTTTAGCTTCTAGATAATTGCGGCTTTTGTGCACATGATATTTCTCAGTCATGTGCTGACTATGATGTTAGTATATGTCTGGAGCAGGCGCAATCCATTTGTACGCCTTAATATATTTGGTGTTCTTGATGTAAATGCGCCGTACTTGCCTTGGGTCTTTTTGGCGTTTGCATTTCTATTGGGTAACAACATGATGACAGATCTCATTGGTACGTACATTAGCTCAGCCTGATACGACTTCTAGGAATCGCCGTTGGACATATGTATTTCTTTCTTGAAGATGTTTTTCCCAATCAGTCCAATGGTTTTCGGATTTTAAGGACACCAAATTTCATGTAAGTTGGAATACAGTTCAGTAATGGTTTAGGAAGACACTCTTCAACCGTCGGCCGCGTGATGAATATCAAACCCTTCCCGAGGCGCAGCGCCCCGGAGGTTTTCAATGGGGTGACGGCGGTCAACAGTGAACTGTCAGTGATAACCCAGAGAACACTTGGTGCCTCTGTTTTGTTTGTTTTGAACTAACCTATCTATTATGTCAATTTTGAACTTGATTACAATCGATTAAAATGTCTAAAATGCCATGTATTTATTATTTTTTTCAATGAATTGCGCTCATTGTGGCGTCTGCATCAAAGTCCTTAAAGTGAATAACAGAACTAATTTGTGGTAAATAAAAAGTCTGATTATTTTCCTTTGAAACGATGAGACCTAAACGGTTTTCTTTAAATTATTAGTTTATCTTGAAGTCGAACACAGGTAAGAATGACCACTTTATTGGTTAAATTGTCGTATCCTAACAATTGTTGGTGTTATATCTGGAGAAGGGTCACAGTAGGAACTAGAAGTAATAATCCTAATCGGAGGTTCTTTCTGTCCCGTTGATCCCCCAGGTTTTGGTCCTCAGGTCCCCTAAGTTTTCTCATCCCTAATTTCGAGAAGTTGCTTCTTGGTGAGCAGTGGCTTTAGATCAGATTTAAGCTAATTGAGCAGTTTATAGCATTTGAGTTTTGTCACAATGCATACTTGTTGGTGCACAGACTAGAGGTGTACCCCTAAATGTACATGTATGTACTTCACACACTTCTGAGTCCAGGTTGTATGCCAAGCAAATCACAGAACAATAATCTTTATAGAAAAGACGAAGTTCCATGATTTGTTTGTGGGCGGAACACTGCCAGGTTGCCCAGGCTAAGGCAGAACCCTTAAATAGACAGGTCTAATGCATTCAAAAGTGCCACTTCATTTTGCGGTTGCGTGCCTTAAAATGCATTAACCTACACCCTTTAAGAGAGGAATATTGGTTCTCCATTTGCTAGTGTAAAGTTTCCATTAGGGACATCCGCGAATCCGGGAATCTGACGTGCTATGGATTCTACCACCCCGTACTTTGCTGTTATCCGGTTCAATACCCCTTGAGTTTTGGTTGCCGGTGTTTGAGCGAACAATGTTTTCGTGACAGTGGTGTTTACCCGTTTGGCTCCTCATGATGCAGTTGTCGTTAACGATAGATACCACTGGTTTCTAAAAGAATTGCAGCATGTGTAAATGCCTTGTCGGTGTATTCTAAACCGAAAATATTCTCACCGGTATTTTGCTTCTACGAAAATTTAAAGATAGACATGTTCGTGTGAAGAGAAGGAAACATTTATTATGGCGAACTAAGTTCAAAATTTGTCATAAACATGAAGTCTGGTTCGGTTCTTCATACATGTGTTGCTGTCCGGATAGTTCCTCACCGTTATGTGACCCTGAGTTTGCGTCGGGATGGCATACCCTTGATACTTGTGTACTTTAATACGGGTCTTGTAAATCCAAAAGAGTGCCAGGACGAGGACAGTTATTTGTTCAGAGAACAGCATCTGATAAGGGTAAATAAGATAACACAAAACGAAACGTTTCATATGGAACAGGTCATCGTAATTCCGACATGCACGCAGGATAGTCAATGGAACAGCCCGACGGTAGATGTGCAGTTTCTTTAGTTACAATTTTGAACACTAATTCGCTGTTGGAGGTCTTGTTCATCTTGGACTGTTGTGAGAACACGCCAGTCATTCTTTTGCGCAGTCTAAAAATACTACTCATGAACGTGAGTAGTACCTCAATACGGGTACTATTCCACCAACGGGTTAGTAATACCCATGTATGTTTTTGCGTGCTTGTGACCGTGTTGGTGGTAATTTCGTTGTTACCGAGTTCAAGCGAAAAGCTTTGCTAGTTAGGATGTGTTACATGGGCCACAGTCGTACAACGCCCTTGCACAATTGGCTGTCATACTCATCGCGTTTGTTGTGCAATATCTTTTTGTGTAAAAGTTTTTCCACTACATTCTAAAGAAAGAAGCGGCAGAGAATACTACACGTGACGGTTAAACTAGAAAGATATTGTATGCCTACGTTCTACCAACGAATAGTTCAACTGGCCAGTCGCTTACCAGGCTATCTTCTCTGATGTAGCTGAGGCTCCATGGGCAGTGTCTTCTGAACCTCCTACTGCAGGAGAAGTTCGTTCTTGCATCCAAGCCCTGAAGAAAGGGAAAGCAGCAGGGCCAAAATGTATGGAAAATGCACAAAGAGCACTTGACAGATTAGCAAGTTCTGTCGCTCCGTTCGGCATGTGCTTTGCACCTTCAAAGTGCAAAGTGATGCTACAAGACTGGGTGTCACCGAGTTCTGTTCTGAAACTAGACGGTCAGGAATTAGCTGAAGTTGACTGCTTTTGGTACTTAGATAGCTGCGTGACCAAAGACGGTAGCTCATCGAAGGAGATAACTGCCCGCATTTCCAAGGCTCGAGCAGCGTACGCAGGACTGAAACATCTGTGGCGGTGATGTGACGTGTCACTAAACTTGAAAAGTCGCGTATGCTGCACCACTGTACGACCAGTTCTGCTTTACGGTTGTGAGACCTTGAATTTGCGGGTAGGAGACATCCGTCGTTTAGCAGTGTTCGACAATTGATGCTTACGTAGTCTGGCCCAAGTGGGCTGGAGTGAGTGGGTTAGTAACTTAGAAGTAAATCGTCGGGTGCTTGGGAATATATCAAACAGGAACTCTCTATCGCATCGAATCTAGCTCAGTGGGCTCCGTTGGATAGGACACGTTTTGTGTATGTCCGACGGTCGCCTACCGCGCCTTGTTTGCAGTGGCTGTTACAGGCTGGAGAAAACCACTTGGAGGCCAGCGGATGACGTGGAGACGAGGCATGAAGAAATGCACAGAGCGATTAGGTAGAGTAGGTGTCTCTTGTCTTCCGGTTTGGGGTCCAAAAGACTCCGAAACCACATGGCTGGAGGCACTGGAGGTCATGGCTGCGAACCGACAGCAATGGCGATCATGGTGTCACTTCTTGTCAGTCCAGAATGCTTGAACTAGTATGTATACACAGTTGGACTGTGTACATTGTGTGTTGACCATAGAGGTTCGCTTTCTTTTCCCGTCCCTCAAAATAGGCCCAATCCCTGTCCTTTTCACACATTCTCACTTATCTTGTATGCATTTTGAGTTTGACAGCGATCAGTGAAGTTCGCTTCACTGTATTACGCTGTGCGATGATGATGGTTTACAGAAATTGTGTGCAGAATGATTCGTCAGGCCTTCGGATAAGGACTACTGACTTGATCTTTGATTAGGGAATTGCGGAGAAAACGTTTGCATTAATGGGCTTAGTCTGTTATTGATGTTTGCAGTTTTATGGGAGACTCCATACATAATCCCTACGAAGCTACTTGTGCCGTTGTGTACTCAAGTTGTGAGGGTGTGTAAAATGTCGCTACAGGTTTGGGTAAACCCAGCTCCCAAATTCAATATAACTAGGAGGGTAATAGAGAAAGCAGAAAAATGCTATCCTAACAGGTACATCTTACCTGGTGGACGCATCACAGATGTAGTGCCGACACGCATGCAGCAGACTCGATTGGCATTTACCAACTTGAGACACCTGTGGCACCCTTCCGACATCTGGCTGCTGCGGTAGTGAGACCATTGTTTACGTCGTTGAGGTTTGCCCACCACGTGATAGGGATAAAGGTAGATTGCCGGTGTTGGTGTATCACGCTCTACACTGGACGGCACTAATCTTTTCGCTCTGTTCTCTATCCCAGTCCACCCATCCCCCGTTATTTTTATTACTATGGCGTTGGTACCATACTTGTCCGCAAGCCTCACGCAACTCTTATCGGAATAGATACCCTAAAGGCAGCAAACAAAACAGTTGCACGATGATGGCTGTAAAAACCAAAACAGAACTGAACCCAGAGTCGCTGTGTAAATTTTCAGGAAATGAGTTTAGTAGTTAAATTTTTCGCTGTTATGCATTCTTCGGAAGAAACAGATTCTCGTGAAAAACTGAATTTTTACCAGATTACAATTGTTTCGGTCCAAAGTTCGCCTTGTGTGGCATACTCGAGTTACCTCGCGAACCAGTACCCAATAACCGCTACTTTTTAACAAAAGGAGCCTTCTATTCAGTTTATTGCAAAACTGTATCGATCAATTTTCTTGACAAGAGAGTTTGTAGTCAGATAACAACGAAAACGTTAAGGCATATCACGTTTTGGATTAAAATGTGTAGTCAATACGTTCAAGTAACCAGGAAGTACTTCTCCATTCTCATAGCTCTTTGGCATCATATATACGCTTAGGAAACATTGTAATGTTCCTCAGTCATTTGCCACTCCCAACGACCCAAACTTTTCTTCTAGACAATAGGTAACCGGAGCTATTCATCGGGGAGAACACAACGATTGGTGTGCACAGAACAATGAGTGGCGTAGTGGTTTAGTCGCTATCACTGGCGCGCTTTGAATCGTGTGGTCCGAGGTTCGAGCCCCGCCACCTAACTTTGGTGGTAGACAGTTTTGCTGTCGCCCGGTTCAATACCATGCTTGACCTATCGGGCCTTATGTGGTTCGCCACTTCAAGCTTCGGGGATCAGGTTGCAGGTTACCATCACTGAATAGCAGGTCTTCGTGACTATGGGATCTGTCCCGTCTGTTGTTCATCACACACTGCTGTGTAATAAAATACACCCTATTCAAAAGAATAGCTGACCGAGAATTAGTTCGTCAGAGACACGTTTATCTTGCTGTCCAGTGTCATGGTACTTCAGCTCAAAGCCAGTTGTTTTTCTGTAGACATGACGAAGAAATTACACGTTGATGTAATGTGGTTCACGAATCTCTTTGACCCAGTAAGCTAGAAAGGATGGCTTTGATCAAACCCAGGATATGTATGTGAAGTCGAAGTGTGGTGGCCGGGTGAAGTCAGATCTTCTGGACCTCCAATTTGGGGTTTGCCTCAGGTTTGCACTTTGGTCGGTAATATGACGCTGGAAAAATTGATCCTTTTAGATGACTCGAAGTCTCGCCCTACTCACTGCTTTAAGGCTAGGTTCTTTTTAGAACTGAAGGCTTCAAATAACCGCCCTAATCGTGGTGGGATTCCATCTTACTACTATCTATCAAG